TCATGCACAAAATCTGGTTTTCAAAGTATAGACAAAAAAAAATAAAAAATCGACAACAAAATTAAATCTGAAGGAGCAAGAAACACAAAAGTTCAAATAATGTAATCTTATCAACGTAAAGTTTTTGACACATGTAGACGTACTCACAGTGGGAAGAGTGACGAAAACATCCACTCAAGTACTTAAAACTAAATATTATGATCAAACTAAATATTATTCAAGTAGGAGTACGCAACACAAAAACTACTCCAAAAAGAATAATGTCTTTAAAAAGTGCATGTTCCCACTGCTTTTACACTCTCACATGAACTCCCGAGAAAACTCATGGTAACATAAGGACAAGTTGATAGAATCATTTGTATAAACATATTTGGATGCGCAATAAAAGTCTCAATATGTTTTGCATCTGTGTTGTGTCTGCTGCATCGTAAAACCGTAACTTCTATCTAAAAATAAGTGAATATATGTCTCCTGTCCACTTTCCACTCGCAGTCTGTGTGTGAGTGCTTCTTTCACTACAAACCACTACTCGCTGTCTGGATGTGATTTAGCCGACAGGGAAAACACTGTAAACGTATGAAAAGTTATGGCGTTCATATAGTTGGAGGAGCGAGGGAGTTTTATCAGAACCACGTGGAGCTCCCAGTGCCAGGGCGTAATGGCATGATTGAAAAGGAGTTTAAACTATGGTCACAACCCACTCAAAACTGACTCTAGAGAGGTCTCCAAAGTTCAACCCCGTCTTTCTCCTCCCTCACATTAACTGTTCCAATATGTACATCATGCACGGCGAGGCATCTGACAGAAACGGGGCTATTTCTCCAGATTGATGGCGTCATGAGCGGGCATGGATCACAGTTGCTATGGTTCCAATTTATCTACAGTAAACAGTAGGGGAGATTTGTCATTTTGGATTTTAGAGGGAAAAAAGAACGCAGTGGAAAAACAACTGTCAAACACACAAGTGCAAGTCAAATACTGTCATGAATAAGCTATTATATTGCATTTCTCTATTCCGATACAGGGGCTAATTGAGACTCAAATGTTAGCACTAGTGACAGCCAGACCGCTAATTACCACTCTTTGTAATGGAGCAAATGGGATCGGCGGTAAGAGGAGCTACTGTTATGAACAACACCTTGTAAGCAGCAAACACAAATATCTAATTATACCATCATGTTTTGTACTTTCTAGTCAGTGGACATCTGTACGGGAATTTGATGTCATAATTTCAAACGGAAGGTAGGGGATGTTAGTCTGATTCTTCAGCCAGTTTCACGTCGTGGAATCCGTCTGACCTCGCAGCATTAGGATTTGTTCGCTTGACAGTAGGCGGGTACTTATTTTATTTAACCAATTGCTATTTGGTCGTGACGTATGCAATGTGCCAAATCCCGTAGGAAGAAGGGCAATAACGTCTTTCCCCTTGATAATATTCACCAAGCATTCTCTTTGTTCTGCTTTTACATCTTCAATCTCGGGAATCGTTGCCAACACAGAATGTCTGGCTTCGTCTACATCCATTTCGACCGCTTTGTTTACTGTTGTGCTGTACCACAAAAGGGACCCAGACAGGCGCTTGAGTTTGACGTCATGGCTTCACAGCTCTTCGGTGACTGGCCGGTGCGCAGTCTACAACTTCCGGGGTTCTTGCAAACCGTCTAGTGTATTCCGATTCCTGACCTATTCACTGGAGAGAAATGAAATTGAGCAGAGGCACTAGATGCACCAGCCTGGCTAAGGGGCTATATACCAAAACAGGAAATTCACATGTTGAAGTTTTGTTTGGGGTTGGGTCCACAATTTTGCCAAGTTATTGTTTATTTTAAAGGTGATTGTGTTGTGATTGCACTCTGAAGGGGGAGTGATTTAGCGTGGGGAGTGTCAGCAATTAACACTGTCTCAAAGGACATAATCTAGTTCTCCTGGGTGTTGATTGACAGACATTGTAACCAATCAGATGCTATGGTTTTGCTTGCGGGTGCAAGTATCGTGTGTACTAAAGAAGTGAGTAGTGGCTTTAAAAAAGGCACACATATACATCAACATGTTTGCAGAATGTTTGTTTAAGTTGGTAGCAATAGTTGATTATAAAAAATGTGTGTTTAAGGGCCAATTAGATGTTTATTTGTAATATCAGGAAATGTTAATTGTCAGGTGCTAAGAGTCAGCTAATGGCTCGCTATTATTACGGAGCTATTGTTTCTGACGTGTTTGTTTGTATATTACAGTTTCTATTTTTTCACTCTGTTTGTATGTTTCAGGACCACACATGCACATCCACCCACAAAAAGTTCAGTGTTTTTAATAAAAGTCATAAAACTTCATTATCTCTCATTGTGCATTCTTCCCGTTGCCCCCTGGTTGTCACAACAGTTATAAGCCACACAACTAGCTCTCCCCACAACAAATACTTTGTAGAAATATAGTACCCACTCTTTAAAGGTCCTATATTATGTAAAATTGACTCTTGTGAGCTTTAAGCCATGTTATAATGTTTTTACCTCCACAAAAACATATCTGGATTTGTGTTTTGTTTCATTCACATGTTTGAGTAATCTTGGTTTATTAGTCTGTCTACATCTATACTCAAAATGCTCTGTTCCACCTTGTGATGTCATGAAGCTTCATGTTAGTAGAAATGGGGCAATTCCAGGCCTGAAACAAAACACAACTCCAGGTATGTGTGTGACGAGGAAACAACATTATAACACAGATCAGAAAATGGTGTAATATGGGCCCTTTAATTTTAAACTATGGTGTATTTACAACGTTAAGATGTCACGTGAACACATTATGGGTCACCCCAAGATGCAGATATACAGTTGACATGCTACTCCTGACTCATAACAAACAGCGCAGTGACACAGGCTTACTATAGCTTCACACTTCGCCTCCTAATAAGAGAGAGCCGGAGATCTGCCAAGCCAGCGATTTAATCAAAGCCCCAACCTTTTACTTCGGCGCATACGGAATAAATAACCACCAGCGCTACGTTCAAAGACAATCTGACACAAAACTCCGCGCACAACGTCAACTCCAATCAATGATTATCTGCGCTTTCATCTGTGGCTTTCTCTCCCACTGACAGACTGTGTAAATAAAGTCTCATAAAGTCCTTTTACCCTTGCGATGAGAAAAAAGCGAAAGCTGCAGGTCCTTGGTTTCTGTGGATGAACAGTGTTTTGATTCAGCTTGTCCCCATCTACAAACATGCCACGCTGAGGTTAAATTATTTTAGTGTTTACCTTTGTGTTTGGCATTTGTGTGACGAATGGGGAACAAAGCGGAGCATTAAGAGACATTAAAAAAAGACTACGCTATTGTCGCTGATTGTTTAAATGGTAAATATGTTGTTTACATTTGACCCAGCCACACATGCATCTGATTTGCGAGTGAGTGAGACCGCAGATGGATTATAGATTTAAAATGGTACAGTTTAAACGCTGTAGGCTGTGAAGTGACGGAGATGAACTGATCTGAACTGTAAATAGAATCATTTATGAATCTAGCAAAGCAGGGGAAAAGGGTTAGAAGACTCAGAAGAAAAGCTGTTTTCAAAGATATAGGTACAAATATGTGTCTTAAAATCCATTTGCTTAAATAGATGGGCCTTATCAGGTAACAGAAGCTAAAGGAAGTCATAATAAATCAAATTAAGCTTTCAGATAAAAAAAAAAAAAAAAAAAAAAAAAGACATTAAGTATATAATAGTTCTTCTACGCATTGCTTTTCAACCCTCCACTTTTCAACTTTACAACTTTACTCTTGTTTTGATTAAAGTCTTCCACTAAGAAATGATTTAAAGTTTATGAGGACATTATGAGGAGGCTTTAAAGGGTCTGTACTCGTTTTTTTCCATGTATCTGAGCAAAATTGGTCTTGTCCAAGAACAGATATATTTTATAAGCAGCTCTTGAGGTTAAAATAAGTTCACTCTGTACTGTCTGCATCTAATTATAAAATGAATTATTATCAGGAAGTATGCGTTAGCATGCTAGTCTGACCCTGCACTAGACTCTGAAAGTTGTGAAAAGAGTTTATAAACTCTAACTGAACTGCAGTGAATAGTTATGCTCAGAATGCATAAGTGAATAACTTTGGACCACTGCAAACTGTTTAAAATGATCTAGATCTGTTTTTGATGTTTTTAAGATGATAAAAATCAGATACAGCGCTTTTAACATTCATTCGCATATCTTTTCCTCTTATGGCTCCAAAACCCTATATACATTTTTTAAATATAGATTTTGTATATGTTTGCAGATTTTGATGGTATAGTCATTGAATATATATAGTCTATTTTGTTACATTCATTCGAAATTATTAATCACATGTTACATTCAGTGTATATATATGTGTTCGTTTTTCATAGTTTTTTCACTTCTAAATGCTTGAGTAATATTTTTTCAAAGTAACCCCGTCTTAGTTAGATTATAGCCAGTTAGCTAGATCACTACATAAAAACATTGTAATAACTTCCTGGCTGTGCGTGACTGTATGAACCCTGACATTTGCCGTAATGAGCAGCTCAGGCCCTTCTCTTATCTCACTGAAGATCAAAACAGTGGCGCTAATACATGTGAACCTTTGTGATTCCTAATTTGTCGGAGGTGCCCCCTCTGCAGAACAGGGGCTAAGTGCATGGGCTGTGGATAATTAAGCGATTGTGAGAGGAATGTACGTGCGCTGTCACTCCAATGGCCGAGCACGTCACCGCGGGCAACGGAGCCGCGAGAGGACAGCCGCCCGTCGCCTTTGATCTGGCCTCATGCATTCACAATCAGCTCACTCACATGGACAGCGGCACTTAAAGCAATAGGAACCGGGCCCCGTGTTCAAAGAATAGGGCCCCTGCGAAGGTAGAGCCACTGTCAGGGGCGCTCAGTGGAGACAGGATGAAAGGGGAGAGGGGAAAAGGGGAGGAGGGAGGGGAGGTGCCAAGTCCAGTCCAAATGAAGGGCTACAAAGGGGTGTAAGACAATAAGAGCTTCACTTACACCGTCACGCTTCGGTTTGACCACCTTCATGTACTCCCCCCTCGCACGGGCCTCCAGCGCCTCCAGCTTCGAGACCTTTCGCGTGTCCAGGAACTTGAGCTGAGGTAACTTGTGGAGGACGAAGTATCTGTAAAAACATAACACAAGTAAACAGTTAATACTAATCATCTTATCTTTAAAGGGCCCATATTACGCTATTTTGATCTATTTTTTCCTCATCAAAACATACCTGGTGTTTTGTTTAGTTTCACAAGTTTCACACACAAATCCTGCACGTTAGGCTGTATTCTTCTCTCAAACAGAAAATACTATGTCATATAGTAATACAGGAAGTGCTCCACTGTGTTTTTAAACTCATTACACCTTCACTAGAATCATTTGGATCGTTTCAGCCCTGGAATTGCCAATCTCTACTGAACTAAAGGTAAAAGGTCGCTATTAACTTGAAAACTACCCCATCATGACATCACAAGGTGGAACCGACTAGTAAAAAAGGGTTACTCAAACGTGTGAATGAAACAAAACACAACTTAATGCATGTTTTTGATAAGGTAACAGCATTCTAACATGGCTTAAAGCTCACAAAAATATATTATGTCTAATATAGGACCTTTAATATGAAGTTTTGGAATGTATGTTTTTCCATGTAACAAAAGCAAATGATTTTATTTTGAAAATTATTTGTCCCCAGTGATAATGAGTTGTCAACGCTACATAATATGCCAAGTAATAAAAGTTTACAACCTCATGATTAGATGGAAAGAAAAACAAAAGTGCGCAAACGGTGCCAGCAACATTACCAATACAAGTAACTACGTTGGTTGAAATCCACTGTACTAGAATGCGTTTTATGTATTTGTGCTAGTATTTATCATTTATTTCACAAAAGTCTAAATCAGTTTCACACCGTCTTTTGGGATGAAGTCTTGATCACTCAGAGGATTCAATTGTGCATGTTTAGAGAAATCAGAAGAAACCCCACCCAGACACAGAGAGAAGAAATGAACTCTGACCACATTTCATTTTAAAGTTTACACACAGGTAACAAGCCTTAATGGCACTCAATTACACAGTGGTGAGCAGTTACAGGGGCAGGGCTACATGAGGTAATCCGTTTTTGCATGTTGTTACAATGTACTTTATGTGGGAACTGTAAAACCACCTTGAAAGTGCCCAATTTTATCTGATCTGAAACTAAGAAGGGTTGGGTTAGTACTGAATGATATGGGTGCAGTGGCTTAGTGCTCAGGAGCACTTTCCCACTCAAACTTGTGCATAGTGTTATTGTCTTCTTATGCAAGACACTTCACCCACCTGGCCTCCAGTACTTAAGTACAATGGTGTATAAATGGGTAAGGTGTGAGGGACAACTAGGACTGGATTATTAAGAAGTTGTCGATACGATATATACCTCGATATATAGTCCATGATATGATATGCTTTTTGATACAGTGCACTTTTGATTCAATATGATTCGATACAATATATTTCAAATTGATTCCATCCGGTCCACCATTTTACTCAAAACAGTGAAAATGTCAACACAACTGTAGCTCTTATACAAAATAATTTTGCAAAATATACCTAAAAATACTCTTGACAATATATCGATACAGCAGTCCACGATATCAATACTATATTATCAAATTAAACAATACGATATATCGATATTTCAGTATTTTCGCACACCCCAAGTGACAACAGAAAAAAATTAGCCCATAGTTACAATTTGGTCTTGACAACAGCATTTACTAGTACAATCTATCTTGTAAAAAGTTGTACATTTTTTGTCACTCTTTTCAGAGAGTGACAAAAAAATATTAAACTTCATAATAAATTTTTTTTCAAATGTACTAGAATATTATGTGTGTTTATTAACAGTTATTAAGAAAACTAAAACTAAAACAGATAAGGCGCAGTATAATAATAGAACTTGTCAACACTTCATTTTCTGATCTAGTGCATCATGTCATAATCATTTCTTGTCTAGACCTGCCATGATTACAGCTATAACATATTTCATTGATAGTCTTTGAAAAGAGCAAACAGGGACACACACTAATCTACCAAACACAAACTCACACATGTAAGTCACACTTCGGCACAAGTTGAAAAGACGTTGAGTCCGATTTCACTTCGCACGCACATTTAAAACGCAATCACGCTCCCTTGTATGTAATAACCTTCAAAGCCGATAAGAATAAGCACGACGTATAAATAGCACGAAAGCAGATAGGAGCCAGCGCCTGCCACAGCTGTCAGTCGGCCTGCATCAGCGTATCTCTCTCAAACCCACTCCCGTCTTTCACTGGGAGGCACGGGGACGTCACAAGATAATAGCTGGAACACATAGATGACAACAGATCCTTTCACATGCACCAGGGCAGGAATAGAGGGGCCAGTATGTCAGGGATGAGTCTGGTGGGGCAGCGGCGGCGGGCTGGGAGGCGGCTGGCAGTAGGGCCTGTAAGTAGAGGGTGTGAAAGGACAGGGCGGAGGTACGGGTGCGGAGGAGACGGGCCGTGACACATCGATGACGGCGGCGAGACGAGATGCGGCGGCGAGGTTTTCAGCACCTGCGGATTATGAGAGCGGAATGCAAGAGGATGGAGCTGGGACAGAGGAAGCAAACGTAAACCAGACCAAACTGTAAATGGGTTTATAGTTTGGATAAATGAGATAAACATTTTTGCTCTTTGTTATTATGATATATTCATGTGTGAGCAATTACAGAGATATTAACCATAATCAGTATCAACAGTCCACACAAAGGTTTACACAAAATGGATTCTTGTGAGCTTTAAGCCATGCTGGAAACCTGTTACTTCCTTTTTTGTGTTTTGTTTCATTCACACATGTTTGAGAACCAAATTTATTAGTCTGTCTGCATCTCCCAAGCTGAAAATGCTCTGTTCCACCTTGTGATGTCATGATGATAGAAAAACTCAAACCACAACTCTGGGTATATGTGTACGGTGGCCGGCAAGTGCAAAACACTTTTACATTTCACAGCACACATGAACAAGTTACAAAACAAAATTCCATTTAAAATACACACTTACATGTTGAAAACAAATTCCAAGTTTCATAAACATATTTGCAAATGAGCAAACAAATTTACAGAACACTAAACACTTGTACAAGCGCCGAGACACATTTACATCTGGCAAAAACACAAATACAAACCAGCCGAAACGAATTAAAGTCGTTGAAAGTTCTAAAAAGCGGTCCTAAAAATGTCCAAAAAAGCAGAAATGACGACCGACCATAACGTTATTTTTGATCAGTAGTTCACTAATGTGTCATCGTTGTTCTCCTTTAAGCTTTCGTCTTTCTTACCTTAATAGTTGTGGACAAATTCTTCATGGACAGAATGTGTTCTTTGTGGACCTTGTTGGATGAAAATTTGGTGATGGGGCAGATTTATGAAGCCGGTGGAAAATACGCCAGCCATTTCCACACATACTTTCCCATAGAAAAGCATTAACCGAAAGTTACGTTTACCCTACATTGTGGCACCTCCGGCCGTTATGAAAAAGCTCTATGCGTTTCCGGGTAGGGTTGTATTTGTGTTTTTGCCACATGTAAATTTGTCTCGGCGCTTGTACAAGTGCTTAGTGTTTTGTAAATTTGTTTGCTAATTTGCAAATGTGTTTTATGAAACGTGGTATTTGTGATGTGGAAACAGCATTATAACAGATCAGACAATAGCATTCTATGGAATCTTTAGCAGAATCATAACAGGGCAGGCAATCATAATATGGGTCTGAATATGAACAAAGGTACGTGAACGCAACAGTATTAGTAATTTTTAGTAACTTCTCATGTTACTTGGATGAGGCGTATGTTTCTGATGATATGTTAGGATGCCCTTGGGAGACAGGCCTATTACAATGGCTGAGCTGTTGTGTTCCCTGTGTTCTTCAGTATGAGAGGGTCAGAGCAGGTGACAAGGCTGTGTCAGGCAGTGGGGATACAGAGAGATATGAATGATTCAGGGCAGCCGCACAGGGAGGACTGGAGAGTGTACCAGGGGCAAAGAGGGGGTCAAGCAATTCAGTTACACTATCAAACATGTGAGGTCAGAAAGGCCTGGTTGGGACCGGTTGTCAGTATTAAAGGTCCTGTATTAAGCTGCTTTCTGATCTGTATTATAATGTTGTTTCCTCTTCACAAACAGACCTGGGGTTGTGTTTTGTTTAATTCACACATGTTTAACACACAAATCCTGCATATTTAGGCTGAGTTCTTCTCTCAAACAAAAAATACTCTGTTCTGCCTTATGATGTCATGTGTTAATACAGGAAGTCCTCTACTGTGTTTTTAAACTTAACACACTTTCTCTAGAATCATTTGTATTATTTCAGCCCTGGAATTACTCATCTCTACTGAACTAAAGGTAAAATGTAGGTGCTAATTTAAAAACTACCACTTCAGGACATCACAAGGTGAAACTGAGCATTTTGACCTTTAGAGATGTAGACAGTCAAATAAAAGCCTGATTCATCAGCCGGTTTCATTACATGGAAACCATCTGACCCCGCAGCATTAGTATTCATTCACTTGATGGTAGGCAGATACTTTTTTTGTTTAACCAATCGCTGCTATTTGGTCATGACATATGTAATGCGCCACTAATGGGGATAACTGGTATATTAAGCTTTTCCCAAACCCCGTAGGAAGAAGGACAATAACGTCTTTCCCCTTGATAAAATTCACCAAACATTCTCTTTGTTCCGGCTTTAAATCCTCGATCTCTGGAATCGTTGCCAACACAGAATGTATGTCTCTTCACTGATTGGCTGGTGCCCGAACTCGCACTTCCAGGGTTTTTGCGAACCGTCTAGTGTATTCCAATTCCTGACCTAGTCGCTGGAGAGAAATGCTATTGAGCGGAGGCACTAGGTGGCGCCGGCCTGACTAGTCAAATAATGCAGGATTACTACACATATGTGAATGAAACAAAACACAATGTCAGGTATGTTTGTGATGAGTTAACACTATAACATAGCTCAAAGCTCACAAGAGTCCATTTTGTGTAATAAATGCCCTTTAACCGTGTTTCCTAGTAACTCAGGGACTGTGTAGGATATAATGAGGAAAAGTAAATCAGTAGTATACTTACAAATGGTTATGTAGTTAGTAAATCCAAAAGTTTCATCGTCTTTTCAGTGCAAAACTGAATCAATATAGATCTCAGCACTCCCCATGGCCTAATCAAGACCTTATGGAGGGACAATTTTGGGTACCCTGATCTAACACATGACCAAATTATGCAAAAAAACATAAATAATTTTACTGTCATTGTGTCTGGCTATTTTGATATTGTGGTTATAGCAGTAGTGGTAGTTTTGGTTCAGAACTTTTGTTAAGAACACTCCAAAATGTCAAATCAAAACTACAAAATACAATGAAATTAGTAACAAAAATAAACTAATTAAAAACTGGCTCTTGCTCGAGTGAACATAAGCAAAGGATTATCTGTTATAATGAGATACATTGTAAATCCCCCTGTGTTATTGTAATACCACAAGCGGCCACAGAGGACATGCCTGGTCAGGTCCTTTAACCTTGCCCCGCACAGCACACACAGTAACACGGCGCACAGATCTACTGCTTCTATGTCATTGCACTAATTGGGGCACCACTGGCGTACACGGGGGCACCGCACTTGAGAGAGCCTGCTCCCGGGGCACTGGGCCGGGTATTTATTGCCCAAGGCCCAGTGCTGTCACGACCTGCATTCAGCCTAACCTTGTCAGACATGAAATCTGCATCACGCTCAAATTGATGTTTTACTATGTGACACATTATGAATATTACATTACAGCTCCGTCGACATTGTCAGTCAAAACACAACAGCTCTCCTCACCAGCGAGATAAGCATGCAAGGAGAAAGGGAGGAGGGAGGGAGAAGAAGGGAGAGAGACAAAAAGATAGACCAAAGATTATTCAAGAAAGGCACTGCTGCTAAATGATTAATAAGCAACACAGAGTCAGAAACAAGCACTTAAGGCTAAAAGAGACAAAAGGGAGTGCGCGTTTGGCCTTTTATGGCATGGTTTCATGTAAAAGACCCTGACAAATGGTGGTCATATTGCATGGCTTGGGGTCTGGTCTTATGTTTAATACATCATTCGCTCTGGTACAACGGGGCTAGTAAACAGTCATTTGTGGAGCTGACTAGTCACTCATGAAATCCATTTTGCAAGAGGCTGGACGGAGAGGCCGGTTGACAAAGCTTTTAGAGTGATGTGGTTGAATGTGCAGGCTGGATGTGAAATGCAGGGGGTGGGATGTAAAAGAGAGGAACATCTCAGAGCCATTACACACACACAAGCCATCACTCCCAATAGCTCCCGATCCAAACTATCTGTCCGGAAACATAAACTCACCACAATGCAATGAGCCTCTCCCTGTAACGCACTACCTGCTTATTCTATTATTTATCCAGCGCTGGAGGAGGCAGTTTTGTGGTATGTGCTGTACAATATGGGGACATGTTAACTATGTCTAAATAGCTTCAAATGTGACTTGGGCTGGTTTAAAAATGTGAAGAAAATTGTGGTATAAAGTTATTCTTCACTTACCTTAAAGGGCTCATATTACGCTGTTCTCTCATGTATGTTATAATGTTGTTTCATCATCAAAAACAGACCTGGAGTTGTGTTTGGTTCATTCACACATTTAACACACAAATTCAGCATATTTCGGCTAAGCTCTTCTCATAAAGCTCTTCTCTTAAACATTCTGTTCCACTTTGTGATGTCATGTGGCAATACAGGAAGTGCGCCACTGTGTTTTGAAACTACATACACTTACACTAGAATCATTTGGATAATTTCAGCCCTAGAATTGCCAATCTCTACAGAACTAAAGGTAAAAGATAACTTGAAAACGATTGCTTCATGACATCACAAGGTGGAACGGAGCATTTTTGTGCTTTGGAGATGTAGACAAATAATAAAGGGTTACTCAAACAGAAACAAAACACAACTTCAGGTATGTTTTTGAAGAGGTAACATTATAAAATGGCTTAAAGATCCCAAGAGTCAAGTTTGTGTTATATAGCATCTTTAAATGCAGTCTGAACATCCTAATTATTCACCACAATGAGTTTATAAGCGCTTTCCTCAACTTTCAGAACAACTAGCATGCTAACACTTTGATTATCGGAAAATAAAATGCTTTCTATTTGGATGCATATAATACACAGCTGACTTATTTGGACCTCAAGAGCTGCTCATACAATATATCTGTATTGACAAACTTTTCTCAAATACATGGAAAAAATCTGGTACTGGCCTTTAATAAAACTATAAATACTATAAAACTAAACTAAAACTAAAAAAGTTGGATTTTAATTAAGCTTGCCATCCTTAAAACCTATTTCTGTGATTTCTGTCAGCATATTATCTCAGACAGTAACACTTTGTAAAGGAGTGTGAATTTAACTTAAAGCTTGTTCCGAAAAGTAAGAGAAAAAAGTTTGCTTCCATATTGTTTACTCCCAAACTATACACAACCCACAGAAAGTTCATCCTAAAGTCAGGGGGAAGTAGAATGGGGCTTTTCCTGTACTTTAATTGAGAATAAAACTATATGCATATCCTGAGGTGTAGTATAAACGAGCACTGCGTAACATTTCTAGAAGATATATGATTGTCTTCAGTTGTTTTATATAGTTTTACCTATAAACGAGTTAAAGTATATGTACATAGAGACAAGCAGGTGGTGTCAACAGGCCATGTTACAGGTTAGCTCTATGGAGAGGCAAGCATACTCTCATTAAGACTGCATATATTTCATGGTATTTTGTGCAATAAAAACACCAGTGATTAAATAATTGTATGATAAATATTCAAACAAATGCCATACTGTGGAACATTCGAGGCAAAGCAATAACATCATCATGGAGACAAGCAGATGGTGGGCCCTTTATAAGAAAAGTTATGTTGTATATATATTAATTCATTCATTTTCTACTTTAAATGACCCATATATTGATTTTGCTGAATTTGATCAAACTCATAATATATAATATTTTTAAAAACTGCAGAAGTAAAAAGCCTACCTACTAAATAGCAGATATTAATTTATGCCTTTTTAAATACATTTTATTACACAAATGATGAGGTGTTAACGTTATAACATGATAAAAAAGCTCAAAAAAGTCAATTTTTATGTACTTTGTCTTAATGACTCTTGTGAGCTTTAAGCCATCTTCTAATATTATCTCATCAAAAACCTGGAGTTGTGTTTTGTTTCATTCATACATGCTTGAGTAATCCTTTATTATTAGTCTGTCTATATCTCCAAAGCTCAAAATGGTCTGTTCCACCTAGTGATGTCATGTAGTGGTAGTTTTCAAGTTAACAGCTACCTTTAGTTTAAAAGCGATTGGCAATTCCGGGGCTGAAATTATCCAAATTATTCTAGTGAAGGTGTATAGAATTTAAAAACATACTGGAGCACTTCCTGAACAGAGCGTTATCTGTCTTAGAGAAGAACTTAGCCTTAATATGCAGACAGACAACTCTGGGCTTGTGTGTTTTTAAGGAAACAACATTATAACGTAGATCAGAATGAGCCCTTTATACAAATGCACATTTAGTGTCCAAAGTGTATTTAGTGCTTCTGACCTGTATCTCTGGTAGTCATCTTCGTCCTTGTCTGGGCTGACCAGCTGGTTGGGGCAGGCCTCGTTGCCCAGCAGACTGAGGTACTCCAGGGCTGGGGTCACCTCCGCCAAGTGCTCCAACAGCGCCTCTATATCAGTCAGGTGTCAGGGGCCGCATGTCAAGGACCCTGCTCGGTTAATTACATTAGCATTTAGCCCCCTCCCGATGCTAACCCAGAGCCACCGTCCCATCCCCTCCCCTCTTGGATTCCCTTTTTTCGGAGCACTGAAACACATCACTGTCAAATTTACTGAGGTGCTCAAAGGGCCCGAGTCAGTGCCTTTGTGAGACTGGCCAGACATAGGGGCAATTTAAGGTGCAGATTTGGCATATACGAGTGACACGATTTGGCTGGGGCGGCTCTGCTTTCTCGCTCTCTCTCCATCCCTTTCATTTCCTAGGTGGCCGGGCGCACAACAGTGACAAAATGATGGATGCCCTGCGGTTCAAACGGTCTGTGCTTCCCAAAGCCATGGAAAAAAAAAAAAAAAAACTTGGGTGAAAAAAAAAGTGGTGAAAAAACAAACAGCCTCTAAGCAAGCACATTCATCACTAATACATTCGCATGGAAAATTGAGCCCCAAAGTGTCAAAATACAACAGCTCTAATGCGCCGCGCTAGCTTTAAAATGGCACCGCGCCACGTCAGGATGTACATAATTGGCCTATTAGCATGTGCCGACCACTTCACAACCGAAAGTTAGCTAGCAGCCCCAGACGAATACTTCAAGGAGCTTTTTTTTTCTGTATGTTGACTCTGGAAAAGTGTGTACGCGTAAAGAGAAAAAAAAAATTGGGAAGGCATCGTTAGCTCGCAAGAGACACGACTAGCGGAAAGCAGGACACATTGCTAAACCTGTTCTGAAGCTAAGAGGCGAGTTCACACATTGGGGGTAGATCATAAACAACCTGGCACTGGAGCGCAAATATAAATGTAGGCTGGTGGAGGAGAGAGGGGAGCCTAGCCCGGAAAAGTGTTTGCTCAGGGTGGTAAGTAGGACACACAGCGGCGCCATTATAAGTGATGAGTGAGCGTGTGTGTTTAGTGACAACTCGAATTAAAGCTACGATTTCGGGCTGATTCGGCGTAAATAAATCTGCTCCGTAATGAATTATACATCTAGTGGAAACAAAATAATAAAAAGTCATGTTTTGGACTGTGTTTGATACTACTACTGTACTCTATATGATATTCACTTGCCCATGTGAAGTTCTGTGCACCTGGTTTTATCCATGATCATTTTTAATGTTGTTGTCATACTACAATTTTAAAGTTGGTGTTTAAAAGTGTGTTCACTAGAGGCTTTGTGGTAATTTTATTATTAGTGAAATTCAATTGTTATTCAATTCATTCAGTTGCCTTCATATTGACTACCATTGGCACAGTTTGTTTTCAATTTTCAAATTTTTGTTTTGTTTTGTTAATTTACGTTTGGAACATTTTGGAAAGCATTATAACCATACAGTTCTATTTATTTTTTATTTATTTATTTATTTTTTCAAATTAAAATAATAACTTTTCTATATGCATCTATGTGTGTTTTGGTGAGTATGTTTTTCCTAGTCTACTTGAAAATCCATGCAGTGCTGATTCTTAGATTCGCTTCCACTAGAGGTCCCTGTGGTTCAGAATCTAGTGCTGAGGCTGTGGGAGAGTACATTTCCTGCTGTATTCACTCAATTCAGTGTTCTATCCTCAAAACTATATGGCATTATTGAACAAGAAATTTGCCCTGTTGTTTATCTCTGATTCATTTGTTCAGAGATAAGACAGCTCTATATAGAGGGAGACCACCTGCCCCTCTTTTGGTCGCCCTGCACAGCTATTTAGACCCTTATTGCTCCTTCATCTTTATTTTACTGATGCAACATGAATTAAATAAAATGTGAGATTTACACAGAAAACCACCTCGTATTTTTTTTTTCCTAGCAAAGAAATCGAGATTTTGCTCTAATGGCATTTTGAGTTGTAATATGTTTGTACTTACTCGTTTTACAATTGAGAAGAACTGAAAATCATACAGTGTTGTTGCAGTTTTTATGGATGTGCTTACATTTTCTGAGTCTGTAACTTCATGTCTCACCACATTCAGTAACGTGTCCCTCTCTTTCTACAATTTGAAATGTTCACCTTGATCATGAATGGGACATTTGTATTGTATTGATTTACTGTGTTTCCTATGTATTAGACTGCACTTTGTATTACCTTTGTACAGCACTTTAGGCAGATGTGGTTGTTTTTAAAAGTGCCTGACTTGACTTGACTTATATATAGCACTATATATCAAAGGATATATGGTTCTTGTTAAGAGTCAGGGTGTGAAGATGAGGTAACTCAGGCAACCGGACGTCATTCCCGATCTGATTGTTGTCCACGATCAGCTCCTCCAGCTCTGAGAACATATTCAGTCCAGACAGAGTCCTGTGAAGACAAAACAAGACAGAAGGAAAATGATTTTAAAGGGCCTACTATTTTGTTATCTATGTTATAATGTTGTTTGCTTATCAAAAACAAACCCAGAGTTGTGTTTTGTTTCATTCACATAGGCTTAACACAAACCCTGCGTATTTAGGCTAAGTTCTTCTCTTAAACAGAAAACACACTGTTCCATCTTGTGAGGTCATGTGAAAATACATCAAGTGCTCCACTGTCTTTGTAAACTCCACACACTTTCACCAACATCATTTGGATAATTTCAGCCCTGGAACTGTGAACATCTACTGAACAACTGTAAAAGGAAGCTGTTAACCTGAAAATTACAGAGTTATGACATCACAACTTGGAACTGAGTATTTTGAGCTTTGGAGATGACAGTCTAATAATAAATGAATACTCAAACATGTATGAATGGAACAAAACACAACTCCAGGTATGTTTTTGATGAGGTAACAGCATTCAAACATGACTTAAAGCTCACGAGAGTCAGCTCTGTGTAATGTATGAACTTTAAATGTGCTGGTTTTGAATAAATACAAGTCGACTTTGTGCTTTGGTACAGAGGCAGGATATGTCCGGGCCTGTCAGCGCCGGTGAATGACAAGAATTAGTGGCGGTGAGCTCCCCTGGCATGGCGAGGCATCCTTCAGCGGCTGGCAGGATGAGGGATGGGGGTCACTTGTGAGTAGCCAGGATTCAAAACAAAAGGCTTCAGAAATGCGGCGGGCAGGATGAATTTGTCAATGTCTTGTGCCTGGAGGCGCCCAGTTTCGCCTGACCCTAACCCTCCATTCCCAAGACAAATCACTCTGTCACACTTCACCTTCACTCCCCAGACACAAATTTAACTTGTCATCCATCATTTTCCACGGAGGAAGCGGAATACACTCACAGTTGTGCAGAAACTTTGAGCTAGCTAACAGTGCTGGAACGTAACGCAGTGAAAGTAGTAACGCACTGTACTTATTACTTAAATAGATTTTAAAGTGGATAGATTTTACTTTTACTTCACTACATTTGAGAGCAGGTATATGTGTTTCCTACTCCTCTATGTTTTTGAATAGGACTGAAAGTAAAACTATTTTTTATTACCTGCTGAAAAGGCTGTGTGTTTATTTATTTTCTTGAGCAACCACAAATATGCAAAAAAAAAAATATCTAATTGATTCTAATGAACAAAATTCAGCAGAAATCTTTATCAAAAGCACTACATTTGAAGCTTTATTAGATCTCAAAATCTGAGTGAAATGCTTTAACTTTTTACTCTTTTTAAAACATGTAATTTAATAGTTTTACTTAAGTAGTTTTTTTCATTCAGTTCATTTTTTTTTTTTTGCTCCAATATCTTCTGTACTTTTACTTTCACCACTGCTAGCTAGCAACAGAGGTTAGCAGCTGATGCTAACTTGAAAAGAAGTGCTTTTTTTTTTCTTTTTTTGGAGAAAGCAAGAATTCGGGGGGGGGGGCTTCTTTTTTTTTACTTTTATGAGGCGTTGCGGAAAGAGGTCAGAGGCCACGGTAGCTCCTTCCTTCTTTGTCTCGCGCAAACATACATTCTCGGCGGCATAAAAATGATGGAGGAGGCTGTTAGCGCTAATGCTATAGGGCCCCGCTAAGTTCAAGTCACAAGGTGCGCTAAGCCAACTGCTAGCGTAACTCAAGCTGTCAGCCTGTTGCACATTTTTACACCTATATTTATGACAAGTCACTTCAACACAAACATCCCCGAGCTTAATGATTAAAGACACGACGTTGTTATCCGTGTTTGACTTTTACATAATAAACAATCTGACTGTTTAGCACATTAGACGACGGTTGGGTAAATATAAGTTTGACAGTCGTATCGCCATGTGACAAACTCAAGGAGGGCTTGGGTTAAACAGCTGCCGTGTCAGGTGATGCTCCTTCCTGGCTCTGTCTAGTGTCAGTGGCTGCCAAATCACACACCATAGGGCTGTAAATACAACACTTTCACCATGACAATCTGCAAATGAAGCGCCCTCGGAGTTAAAGGAAAAAGGGGGTAGTGGATAGGAATTATAAAGTAACACATAGGTACGGAGATGATTAGTGCCACTGGGGTAAAGTCTGAATTCTATTGTACAGTATGCAGGGTTCTGTGTCTGGTGAAGCTTAAAGTGTCCATGATGATGTTTTCTGATCTGTGTTATAAAGTTATTTGCTCATTACGAACATATCTGGAGTTGTGTTTTGTGTTTTCATCCACACAAATCATGCATTTTTAGGCTGAGTTCTTCTCTCAAACCAAAAAGACTAGTGACAGGAATACAGGAAGTGCTTCAGTATTTTCAGTTTTTAAACTCCATACACCTTCACTAGAATCATTTCGGTAATTTCAGCCCTGGAATTGCCAATCTAAACTAAACAAAAGGTAAAAGGTAGCTGTTAATTTACTACAACTATATGACATCACAAGGTGGAACGGGGCATTTTGAGCCTTAGAGATGTAAACAGACTAATAACAGGGGATTGCTCAAACATACTGTATGTAGGGCTGGGTATCATTAAGAAGTTGCAGATACATATCTCGATACATAGGACACGATACGATACATATCTCGATACAGTGCACTTTTGATTCGATATGATATATTTCAAATTGATTCGATAATGTCTAAATCATGACTGTGATACTAAAAATATTGTTAAACTACTTCTTGTGCAAAGTTCATATGAAACAAAAAATTTTAATCATCAAAACAGTGAAAATGTCAAATGTGTCACATAAACGAGTTTTCTTCCTCTAAACAAGCATCAAAACTGTAACAAAATAATTTAGTAAAATATACCAAAAAATACTCTTGGTGACTTATCAACACAGCAGCCCACGATATCGATACTATATCATCACGTTAAACGATTCGATATATATCAAAATAAAAATAAAATAAAAACACTAATTTGGGTATGTTTTTGACATGTATTGCTTGAGCAGGTTATCCCCAGGTTTGACTACCCCAAATGTAAGACTTTTTTAAGACCTTTTTAAGACCACTTAAATGAAAATTAAGACCAACATCGCACCCATTATGTGGGCGAAAAATACCAGATCCAATTCTAATAATGACCAACCAACTACGTACTATATCTAGAATCTAAGAGCCACTATGGCTTAAACCTGCACTTCCCAATGATCCATCCACGTCTTCCTCCACTGTACTGATTGTTTACATACTGCCGCCGGCACCAGAAACTAAAGTATTGCGCATACTCCAAACTAGACGTTCATTCACGTTCTCGTTGTTGTTGTTTTTTTCTTCCCTCCATTTAACATCACACTGCGGCTCAGTTGAGTATACAAAAAATAGGCTAATGAAATTTAAAGCCCTTTGTGACAAAAATAAGACTTGGACAACATAATTTAAGACTTTTTAAGGCCTTAATTTAGGAACAAGTTATAACATGGTTAAAAGCTCATAGTCAATTCTGTGTAATATAGGACCTTTAAAAGAATTAGGTCATGGCAGTTTTTGGATCATATCATAAAACAAACCAAGTCGTGTCATCAGTATACTTTTTGATACTTTTAAATATTATCCAAATGATTAGTTTATTTAGGCATTTTGTAATCTATCTTGAATTAAGCATAACATATGTATAGAATTTATTGTATACAGTGCTACCATACTGCAATGTGTTTTTTATGTCCATGAATGTCTCTCCTTGCTCTTCACCCTCATTCCATGCTGCTTACTGTCCTAAAAACTCACATTAAATGAATAAAAAAAGAGCAAAAAACACTAACATAGTTGTATGCTCATAGTGTTGCTTTCTTTTCAACATACATGTAAAAAAGAACCAACTAGCTGATCCCAAACAACAAGTGTAATAAGTGTTCAAATGAAATAAAGCTGGATAGCCACATGTTATAGACTCCAGAGCCAAACTCACAGATACCTGCTCCAACAGCTGACAGCACTTGCCTGTGCGCTGCCAAAGCCCCCGCTGACGGCCCTTATCACGGCTGTTTAACACATGGATGAGAAGGATGGAGGAGAGAAGTGACTGCTTAATGAAATTAGCTCATCAACAGTCAATAGACAAGTTGTTGTTCAGAATGGATATTTACATTGTGATTTACAACACTGTTATTGTTCCTCATTTGTCATTCGCTTGTTACTCGCTTATGCAAAGCAATAGTCTCAAAAACAATTCCAATATCACAATGTTAATAAAAAACACTGTTTATTTAGACAATAGAATGGGGTTTTCAACATTAAATTAGAGTACTTTTCTTTTGTACTGCCATGTGTCTTATATCCGTGTAATCTCTTAGTGGTCCAGGTAGGTTCCACAGTGGTCCATGTGTGTATATTAGTCTATGTGCTCTTATACTTGTCCTGATATACCTCAAGATCAATCTAAAGCTATTCAGAAAAGGTTCATTTCTGTCCTGTGAATGTGACTTTTTTAGTATTGATAGCTGTTCAAATGAGTATAGTATGAGCATAGTTTCAATACTAGTTTTAGGGTTGATTAGTATCTGATTTTAAATACTTTTGCCAACCCTTACTGCTTCTATGGTATAATATGTGAGATTTAGCTACTGTATTTTTTGGACTAGAAGGCGCACTTAAACTCATTTAATTTTCTCAAAAATCAATAATGCACCTTATAATTTGGTGCACCTTATATATTAATTCTGGTTGCGCTTACTGACCTCAAACTGATTTTATGTGGTACACTGTGCTCGTACTAAATGTTTTAGTATGACTTTGGTAAGCTATGAAGCCGCGCTGCTAGATGGACTGTCGGAGCATTATGGCTACCATAGTCAGGAACCTCTGGAGTAAGTCTGACATAAGGTGACCACACAAGGAATGAGATATTTTTTCAGCGCTTATAGTTTATGCAAATTAGCTAAGTGGCTTTAAGTTTAGTTTCTGTAAAACGTAAACAAATGTGCACAAAGCTGCATCAAACACATTATTACTCAATGTATATTTGATTTCATAATACACATT